TGTGTGTGTGTGAGTGTGTGTGTGTGTGTGTGTGAGTGTGATTGTGAGTGTGTGTGTCACATGTTGAAGTTTCTACAGCTGATATTGTTCATATTGGTTCAGACAGACGCTCGCTCTCGCCATCTGCTACTGAACATCTGCATTCTCACAGCTGTAACACGTGTTTGTGAACAGCAGCGTTTGAGTTTCTGTGTCTGTTGCATTTGCTGCAGCAGTTTGTTATTTGCCACTATTGTTTGATGTGCTAATCATTCAGATGCTAGAATATGGCAGTCCTGTGATAATAGACGGCAGAACGAGCTCAGCGTGACACACGAGTGCTAGGGTTAGGTTAGCGTTAGCACTCAGCTCTGATCGCATGTATTCATACTCATTGATCCATTCATCAATAATTTCATCTGCTGGTAAAGCTGTTGTGTTCCTGTGATCACGTCTTACTCTGATTTATTCATTCCTGTTTCTCACTGAATGGATGTTATCTGAGAAGTTCTGACAGAAGAGCTGATGAAGGACGAGTGTCTGGTCTCTCTGTGGTGCATGAATGAACGCTCCTCCATCCGGGTCACATAACCTCTCGGGATGCCAGTCAGACGTCAGGAGAAGAGGCTGGTTTGAGACGCCTGGACGGGAGGAGTGAAGAAATCTCTCGTAAGCACAAGCCAACAGCTCCATCATGTGCTCTGTTCCTGATACAGTGGATGCATAATAACTGCTGATTCACATGAACTAAATTAACAATCAATTCAATACATCTAGAATTTCACATTTTACACTAGAACAAAATGTTGTGATTGTTTTGAGACCATGAGCTTTAAGCGGTGTCGTCAGCAAGTCGTTTCCCATCATGCTTCTAGTTTGCGCAGCTGTTGAACAGCGATGGGAACTGACAGCATCATCCACTGATTTTGTAATTTATAACAAACTGAAGTTTTCGTTAAGAGGTATATGGACATTGTATTCAAAGATAATTTCTTTTCCTGCGATAGAGGTTAGGTTTAAAATATTCCATTTAAAATACAGGATATTATAAATGTATTAATCATGAAAATTTCTTTATCCATAAATTTAAATGGGCATAAAAAATACTTTTAAAATAGTAACAGGTCACTAATTTAATATGTGAACGGGAAAATTACTGCAAATCTATTCTCGGATTTATTTTGCATAATTTGTATAGTGTTATATTCATAAAGCTGTTGATATGCTGTTTATCATTTTTAAGCGTTGAGTAAGAGAATACAAAAATACACAGATCTATACAGTATTGACAGGGTTCTCCAAACAGACGCTGTATTCTTTGTTTCCTGGACAAAATGAATTCAATTAGGCTTAGACCCTCACCATTTCTTTTTGTGACATTTTCCTAAATTAATAAAATGTCATAATTTAATTAAATTTATTATGTTCATTGGAATAGTACATCGATACCAAACGATGAACAATAATGATGGATTCTTTATTTGTTTTGTTGAAGAAAAATCACAGGAATATCTAATCAATATCTAAATGAAATCTCTCTAATGCACCTTTTGCTGGATATATATATCATCTAAGATCTTAAATGTAAGCTGTTTTTATGTTATTATTTAATAAAGTATATAATACTTTATTTAAATAGTATTTTACTCCAAGCTTTAGTCTAGTTATTTAGTCCATATTCAGAAATACTTATGTTTATTAGTACAACTGTGTTTAAGAATGTAAACATTGATATCCTCTATAAACATACGGTCTTTAACATGTAGTCGCTTTCTCTTTGTAACCCATTCACCGTTTGAATAAATGATTAATTTGTATTGCTACTAGATGCTGCAGAGTTTCTAGATTGACAACTGCCAGATTTAAATGCAAGATTGAATCTGAAAAAGTGATGATCAAAACATCTGATACTGTATATGAGAACAGATCTGCGCTTGGGGTGTAAATGTGTAAATGCAAACAAATATTGGCACTTATTCTGTAAATGTGTTTCTTTGTTCATGTTTTTCTCTTTTCTTCAAAGAAACACGTGAAGTCGTTGCAACAACCACAATATATTTCATTACGTTATATATATATATATATCACTATTCCTTTTGTGTTCATGTAGTAACAAATAGCAAGTGGTCACCATGTCTAGATTATTACATTTTTAACTAGTGTTGATTTTGCTGTAAACAATTTGGTGTTTATTTCTTTTTCATGAGACCAAAAAAATTATATTTTTACATTTGTGGAGAGCAGATGGAAAAATAACGATGTATCGAGTATCATCGAAATTTGGAAAAATATCGAGATTAGAGAGTAAATGGGCTCATGAATCATAATCAAATGAGTACAGAGACTAAGCTGCTGACGTCACCGCCCCTGCTGTCAATCACCGCCAGGCCACGCCCCTCCCGTGCGTCTTACACAAACGGCAGCAGCTCGAGAGAGTAAATAGAGAAAAGATGGCGGAGTTCATTCAGCTCAACAAACCCACCGAACCGAAACCAGCGTCCCAGAACCGGGAGCACCATCATCATCCTCCACCGGCCAAAAAAATCCGACACGAAGAGAAAATATTTAAAGCCAAGAAGATGAACGGAGGCACGGAGCAGCAGAATTACAGCAGCAAACCGAAAAACAAGAAAACCAAAACAGAGAAAGACAGAGACCAAGAGAAAGAGAAAGGCAGAGAGAGAGAGAAAGAGAGGAAGAAACACAAACTGGCGGCTGAAAATCACCTCAGTGTGAAGAAGGAGAACGGAGAGCTGAAGCTGTCGCAGAAAGGTATCGCTAGTCGCTTCGCCGCCGCCGCTCGGGCGCTGTTTGCGGCTGATAACGGGTCGCTGCTTCGCTAGCTGTGATCGGTGCGAGTGTGTGAGAGTGTGTGTGTGTTATTAAGGGTTTATTGTGTCTCGTGAACAAGTGCGTGCGCGTTTATTTGAGTGGAAACATCGACAGCGCGCTAGTTAGCTTAGCATCGGCGCGTGCAGCTGCAATGTGACGCGCGCATTAACATCTGCTGCTACAGCAGACACACATCATCATAATGCCAATAAATGCGTCTCTTTATATTCAAGTCTCAATTTAACCTGCAGGACGGCAGAATAATAGCCCGTGTTAATAAAAGCAGCATTCGAAATAGCTGCTGTCATTCCTGAAATGTCTATTCAGACACCAGAAGATCAACATTAACGATCATCGCGATTATAACAACTGCTGAAATATCTGTAATAACATTGTCATCCAGCTGAAGCTCCAGCGAAGGCTTTGATCTGTTCTGTTGTTCTGTTACTCTGTAATAAATCTGCTGTTTTCTGTCACACTGTAAACTGCGAGTGCTGAACAGTTGTGTGTTATTTGTTTCAGGCCTGTTACACACATTTGCGTTACTCCCACATAACATAATAATGAGCACTAATAAAGTAGTAACCAATCTGTCATAACAACATGAGCACAAAAGCCACATCCAGTCATTTAAGACTTGCTGCTGTCTGTCTGCTTCAGATGCTAACCAGCTACTCACACTAACTCACCCTAACTCGCACCAACTCACCCTAACTCACACCAACTCACACCAACTCACCCTAACTCACACCAACTCACCCTAACTCACCCTAACTCACACTAACTCACCCCAACTCACACCAGCTCACCCTAACTCACACTAATTCACACCAGCTCACACCAACTCACACCAACTCACACTAACTCACAGCAACTCACACCAGCTCACCCTAACTCACACTAATTCACACCAGCTCACACCAACTCACACCAACTCACACTAACTCACACCAACTCACCCTAACTCACACTAACTCACACTAACTCACACCAACTCACCCTAACTCACACTAACTCGTGCAGTGGTTTTAAACTAATTTTACTTTCACTGTATTGACAAAAGTAGTTGAAACGTTCTTCAAAACATCTTTTGTGTTCTGCAGAAGAAAGAAAGTCATACAGGTCTGGAGCGACACGAGGGAGAGTAAACGATGACAGAATTATCTTTTTTATTGTCTCTGTCTGTTTACATGCTTCCACAACAGTATTTTAGTGGTTAATAATCATGTTTTCATTAATTTCACCATTTATGCAGTTTGTCTTTATGAAAACACATTATTTTACTCTAGTACCTTGTTGAAGTGAGTCTGGCCTGTGCAACTCTGAACATGAGCACAGGAGCGTGACAGAAACGTCTGCATGAACGTGATGTGTGTGTTTGTACGAGGATCATGAAACCTGTCCAGAATGTGTTCAGGTTATAAATGCTTCTCGCAGGACTGTTCAAACCTTGTTTTTCATGACAGTTTATCCGAGTGTATGAAGATATAGTAGAACACTTTGACAGTCTAGTGAGGAATGTGACTAGTCAAAGATCTGAGCTGGTAAATTCATGACCTTTCACCAGTGTGTGTTTGAGCAGGACTCACATGCGTGTAACTGTTTCTTTCTCCTACAGAACACACCATCAAAGACAAAGAGAAGCAGAGAGACAGAGACCGTGAGAAAAAGAGAGAGAAGGACCGAGAAAAAGAGCAGGAGAAGGAGATGAAGGAGAAAAGAAAACATAAGCTGATGATGGAGATGAAGAGAGAGAATGGAGAGGTGAAGATCCAGCAGAAAGGTGAGCGATCTGTCAATCACCTGCATTTGACCTCTGACCTGCGCTCTGAATCCACATGTGAGCTTCAGTCGCTCATAACGTGCTTTTGGAAACGCGGGTTCACTTTGAACATGCACATAATTTCCAAAGGTTTTATTATATAATATGAAAAAGTCTTGGCAGCGTAAACGTGATGTGGACTGAGACGCTGTCACAGCAGAACTGAGCTTTAGAGAAGTGCTGGTCACTGAAAGACATCTGAGAAAGAGTGAACCTGCTCAAAAACACTCTCTATTGGCTGCGCGGTGTGTGTCTTTTGTTCTTTTTGCCTGATTGTTAACAACAGATATTTCCATATGAGACGAGATGTTTGTCATCACTGCAGAAATCACAATTTATTACAAAATAAGCACCATATAATTTTGTGGCCAAAAAGCCCTGGCTGATGTACTTGAACAAGATGCAACCGTTTTAGATGGCGTCATGCAATATATGACAAAACTTGTCATACTTTATTGCTTATTTAATAAACGGTATTCTAAAAAAATTGAAGTTCATCACAGTAATTGTATTATCTGGAGTGGTGCTGCAGAATGCAACTGAAAGACCAGAATGTTTGCAAATGTGCGATTTGATATCTGACTCGCTGAGTCAGTTAATCTTTCAGAGTTTTTACTGACTCGTTCACGTGATTCAAGTCATTTTTGGTTAGAGTCTGATTCTAAATAAAGCTGGAAATGCATTCAAGCTTGTGACGCTTACATTCAGTCTCTTTACTGACTTTGATCATGCACTGCCTGTCCAAAAAAAGATTGCACACGTTAATGTTTTGTTGGACCCTCTTTAGCTCTGAAACATGTGCTTTTGACATCATTATGCAACATCACATCATTTATTTCCATCAAGAGTTGCATTAATGTGTGGCTGAGATCTTGTATTGGCAGTGGGTGAGTCAGACCACTCTGTAGAGTTAAGCAGGACTGCGTGGTGCCAGTTCATATGAAAATGATTCCTCATGCTCACAATTTGAGCCTGGTGAATCTTGACATTGTCATACTGAAATATGTGCATGGGTACGTTGGGTTGTTGCGAATCATACAACATGCCAGAAACATATTAATCACCGCAATAATGATCCAGTCCTAAAATCGTCTCTGTTTGCTCATTTAAATCTAAATGGCAACTTTATTTTTTGGCCAGGCAGTGTACGACAATGTGTAAAGATCTATATTCACCATTCAACAGTTTTGTTTTTTTTAATCCAAAAAACATTCCAATATTTGATTTAGCATATTAGAGATCCAGGTGTAAGATTGAATCGACTGTGTTTGGGTGATGATTGCTTGGGTGATCAAGCAATCAGAAGTATTCTTTCAAAACCGTGATATTTATACAGCACAAATGCAGTCAGGATCACTAGAGTCATCGATTAAACTAGAACTGATTTATACTAAACTAGAAAAATGAACTGAGTGTTTTAATGTGTAAATCAGGCTAATAGTAGAGAGTAGCAGCTCTTCATCACTGGTCCTCCAGAAACAGTGCTCGATCTGAATCTGTCAGCGTAGAGACGTCCAGTCTGGATCACGCACGCAAACACACACACGTTTGCTTACTCTGCTGCTGGATTCCAGAAACATTCAGACATTCAGTCTGTTGGAAAACTTCATAATATGAAAACTCTGATGCGAGAGTTTGTCACGCTCAGCTGTTAAACTTTCACCTGTACCTCTTCATTTATGGAAACACACAGAGCCATTTTTCACTGTCGCCCCTAGATTGTGTTTAACACACACACCATCGTTTGTACACAACTGATGACTAAACTAACTAATCATGTCACGTTACTTCAAGAAAGTAGTGTGTTAGTTGCATGTTGATTTTGTATCTCAATTTTATGGCGTTTTATGACAAAAGATGTTATGTTTGTCTCACCATACATTCTTTTGGTAAAAGAAACTGAAGTATAAAATGAGTGTCATTAAAGAATCCAGAGAAATACAAGTAGATAAGTCATTCTGCTAGTAAGATGATAAGAGAGCATTAATAAACTGTTGGAGACACAGACGGACTCATTCCCACAGCTCCTCAGTGTTTCTCACACACGTTTAGCTCTGATGACGGTGTGAACACCAGCTCTCTCCATGTTCTTCTGTCTCTGCTCCTCTCTGAAGTCGGTTTGTGTCCTGTGACTGTGTTCATGGCCAGGTGTCTGATAGTCGGCCATCAGTCAGTTGGATTGTCCGTTTCTGTATTTGTATTATTAGTGTCTGTTATTTGTGATGCTGGTGGATGTCTCTGAATGAGTGCTCAACTAGTGTATTTGTGTCATCGTTCTGAGGATGTTTGTGTAAGTTAATCTTCTTTCTCCTGTGCTGTAGGTGACCGAGAGAAGCCGAAGATCGACTCCGCTGAGGATCTGCTGATGAAAAAGGTCAAGAAGAAAAAGAAAAAGAAACACAAAGAAGGTGAAAAGCGAAAGCGGCCTAAGATGTACAGCAAATCTATCCAGACGGTTTGTTCTGATCTCCCCAAATCTGGTTCAGAATTCAAGCCGCCGCCTCCTCCAGTCCAGCAGGGCGGCGCTCTGAGCTCCGTCAGCAGCCTGAAGCAGGAGAACAGCTGTGGCCAGAGCGCGAGCGCAGCAGACGGCGAGGCCAGAGCTGTTAAACTCCCCGGGCTGGAGCGGCTGGAGTTCGGCTGTCTGGTTCACGTGGAGCACCAGCCGAACGGAGGAGCTCTGGTGGCTCACGCCTACAGCAAGGAGCTCTCTGTCCTGTCTCCTGTGGAGATGCAGAGGTTTGCGCAGGAGTTTGTGACGCTGGCGTTTTGCGAGGACCAGGATGGAGCCGCTAACTACGTGATGGGTGTGATTCACGGCGCCGCCTCCTACCTCCCAGACTTCCTGGAGTACTTCTCTACTAAGTTCCCCAACTCACCCATCAAAATGGAGATCCTGGGGAAGAAGGACATCGAGACGACTAGTATGGCAAACTTCCACACTCAGGTTAGTAGATGCTAGGAATGCACGATATTGGATTTTTGCTGATATCCAATATGCTGATATTTTTCAACTCATTTTGGCTGATAGCCGATGCAGATACAGATATATTTCCTTTTGTTTGGAATAGGGTGCAACAATTAACCAATTTCACTATTAACCGCGCTTTAAAATGTCATGGTTTATTAATTGTAAAGAGTGTTTCTGTTGCACAAAACGAAAACAAAGTTACACTAGCGGTGCACGAGCTTAGAATGTCGTGCTTCTCAGAGACACAGAGGCTACTACACACACTACGACTATATCACCAAACGTACGACTATAATAACACAGTGCTGCACACACAACATGGGTGGTGAAAAGTACATTTCACACATTGCTATTTAGAAATAAATGTATGCACACGATTCTGCTATTGGTTTTAATTGAATAAATGTAATAAATAAAAAAAAATTTATGTGTGTACATTTGCACTCTATTAGGATATAATCTAAACAAGATTTAATTCATGAGGCCCCAGATGATTGTGATGTGTTGATATGTCATGTAGTGGGAGAAAAACAGCTCTCTGATGTATCGTGATTCTTTCTGTGTTTCTGTATTTTGAAGGTGTATTCAGTTGACAATTACTCAACTACATATAGTTGTTATTATTATATAGTACTATTTTAAGTACTTATGTAATTGTATCATTTAAATATTTAGTGTTTTATTATTTTTGGTATGAATAGTTGTGGCATTTCACTGGATTGGTAATGGCTGCAACATGGCAACATGAAGTACAGGGCTCCAGACTGCGACCATTTTTTCTGCCTGTGTGACTAAATGTTGTGCGCGGTCGCACTGGCGCGACCACCGCGTTGTTTAACTCATAAACGCTGCCAATTCTGTTGCATATGTGAAACATCAAACGGCAAACGAAACTGAAAGCATAATGAAACTGCGCTAGTCGTTTGAACTGTGCAGCACTTCGAGAGTAGAGCCTGGTTTATACTCGCCGCGTTAGCACGAGCGTGAATATTGAGGAAACGATGGATGGGTTTCAAGCTAAAGTAAAGTAAAAGACCGCTTCTTAAACCAAAGGTGAACATGTTGGTATTCTTGTGGGAAAAAAAACATGCAAGCACTGTCACCGACAGCAAGTTTAGTTTTACTTTTCTTTTTGTTTTCATTTGCATTATCTTTGCTGTTTACCTCGCATTACGCTATGGAGGCTCTCTTTTATTTATTTTTTATTTGATTCCTCAGTGTTTGCTAAACGTTCTGTATTTTATTAGTCGGTATATAATACAGCATGCGGTGTATGCAATGCCTCATCTTATTTGTTTGTGTTAATAAATGTTTTGTAAGCTTGTTTGTCATTGTATCTTACTGTTTTATTGTTGTTGTACTTTTTAATTTAGAATAACAATGAATCCATCTTTTGATTTAGTCTTAAAAAGTGAAAGGTATAGATTAGGGATGTCCATTTTAACCGTTTAACCAGTTAACTGACCGTAAGAATTTTGACCGATTAATACAATCAGTAAAACGGTTTAAAAAGTCATTTAATTATTTATTTTTTCAGTAATTTATCAAAATATTTAAAAATGTTTGCTGTATAGTTAAAATACGCTACGCGTATAAAAAAAAAATTGTTTTTTAGGGGGGGAAAACATAAGGCGCATTTTATTATTTCATTCAGAAATAGGCCTAATGCCGACGCGAAATGTTTACAAACATTATAATAAACACTGTAAACATAGCTAGGCTATTTTAGTTCCCCTCACTCCACAACAAAGCCTTTCAATTAACAGTATTTAGAAAAGAACAAGAATTAAAAATATAAGAAGCTATAGCAATATAAACGACAAAGCAAAACGAATTAACTTAGGTTAAAACGAAACTGAAACCAACGTTGGGTCTCTCATTCCACACAAAATCAAATGTTTCTGTATTCGCGATGTATTTGAATGCCAAATTATTATTTATTATGTCCTTCACTCGCATTCCCCACTGATAAGCTACCACTAAATATGGTAGAAACTTAATTTGCTGTAAAGTTGCTTTGCAACGATTTGTATCGTGAAACATTAACGTGTGCAATCTTTTTTTGGACAGGCAGTGCATGATCAAAGTCAGTAAAGAGACTGAATGTAAGCGTCACAAGCTTGAACGCATTTCCAGCTTTATTTAGAATCAGACTCTAACCAAAAATGACTTGAATCACGTGAACGAGTCAGTAATAACTCTGAACGATTCACTGACTCAGCGAGTCAGATATCAAATCGCACATTTGCAAACATTCTGGTCTTTCAGTTGCATTCTGCAGCACCACTCCAGATAATACAATTACTGTGATGAAACTTGAATTGAATTGAATTCCAATATCTACGTAAAACAAAATGTTTTGCATAACATCACGGAGGTACTGTGATAAAACTTAACGGCACAGATTTTACTACATAGTTTTTTTTACTACATAGTTTTTTTCCATATGTTTGACTGACTGTATTTTATTACGATAGCCTAATTAACAGACTGCATTGTCAAGGTAGCAAAGCTTAACTGTGCGCATGCGGCACCGGCACAATCACTTGAATTTTTTCCTTCTAGCAGTGGAAGAAACTACTCCTTTTAGTCCTAAAGATAATCTGAATTGTAAAAGGTTTGCCTTTATTTGTGTACATTCACAATAAAAACAAATCTTTGTGCTTTTGTAAAATAAGCCTAAAGAAAAATAGGATGCCGCTTTCTGCCATCTTGGTTTCCTTTCGCGCAGCACAGAAATGAACCGAAACTCTGCATACTAGGCTACTTGTTGCACAGTTTTTCTTTCATTTTCTTAATTTGTTATTTAAGGAAAAATATGTTTCTCTTATAGGCCTAGTTATTCGTTATATACATATATA